GTTTTCCTTCTTTGAACTTTATTACCGAAGATTGCTATCACCTAAGATTTATCACCTAATTTGCTATCTAATCATTAAATATTTGGAATCTTTGAACTCTATTTAGTTGACTCAGAATTTGTGTGATTCTCCAACTGCTAGGCATCTACATTCTCAAAATCTTAATTTCAAGTTAGGCCTCAAAACTATTAGGAAAATAGATATACAATTATTATTATTATAATTGTTTGAATTAGACACATGTCTGGTGGTTAATGCTTGTGACAAGACAGCAGGGAGCTCAGCTAAGGCTGCTGACCAGAATACTTTTATGTAGCTGTTCCATGTGGCCTGGACTTCCTTATAACATGGAGACTGAGCTCCAAGAGTAAAGTACACAGAGAGAGACAGATCTAGATAGACGATTATCACCCTTTAAGACCTAGTCTTGGAAATCACATAGAGTCATTTCCAAGGTACCCTATTGGTTGAGGCAAACACAATGAAATATTCAGCTTTGAGGGAAGACAAAGACTCCACCTATTTGTGAAGGAGTAACAAGAGCATGTGGAGATACTGTTTCAAGTCATCTTTGAAAAATACCAGGCTTATCCCTATTATTGTACCTGGTATACTTGTGACTATCTGTGCTATATGCTGAAGAAGGGTTTTATAGCGATTCATAGGGTAGTCAAATGTTAGAATAATAGAAATGAAGAGGAAATACTAAAAAGCAATTTAGAAATACATGGGTAATAAAAGAAACAGGAAATTTGCACCTAAGAAATAGTTTGCTGGAAAAATGAGCAAAACTTAATTACTGCTGGATATGAAGCACAAATTATAAAATGTAGAATGACTCTAAAACAGTCCTGGGATTGTGGAAAAAACAGTTGTGTCAATAACAAGTGGGTACATTGAAAAAGACATGTCTGACTTCATTGGATGCATAGAGGGATTAATTTTAAACACATGAAATTTGACACATGTTTTTTTGAGTATAGATGCCTGGTATTTCACTGAAATACAGGACTAGACCTTGAGTGAGAGGATGGAAATATGTATTTTGAGATGTTTAAAGAGACATCAACCCATAAAATCAAATACTTTATCTGTGGGAACAATATGGAAAGAGATGAGCATCTGCACTAAAGATCCTGGGTTTTCTATGGTTGCTTGTGTAGAAAATAAAATTTGTGTTTCATTGGAAAACTGAATTATCTGAGCATCTCCTTCCTGGTGATTTAATTCTAGACCTTTTCATTGTCTCTGAGCTATTCTTGCAACTGTAAGTTGTAAGTAATTTATAGACATGTAAATGCTGCCTTATGAATTTAACGATTCTCTTTTGTAAGGAAAGACTAGTTTTGGCTCTATTTGCAATTCATCTCCAAATTTCTTTGTATAAACTTGTGGTAGCCATTTTAATTTCCCTTTCATCAGCCTCATGCCCTCATGTCATCTGCATAAAAGACACATTCATACTTACATCTGTGTGTTGTCTGGTACTTGTTAAAATGGTAAGGAAGAACTTTGGGACTCTGAAGAGGAGTAGCAAGGCTCTCACAACAGAAAGGAGCTCATACTCTATTCTTGAATTCAACATGGAAAAGAGGATTTATAGTCAAATAGGAAGTTTGTGGAATGAGGGCACAGGGCTTGGTGGATGTAAAATTATTGAGGTGATATCAAGATTAAGGAGAATTCTTGCAAAATTGGTTTAATAAGTTTCTTGCTGAAGTTAGACCAGAGTGATCTGATATCACCTGGGGAATGATGGAGAGATGAGACCTGGATTAGATATTGCATGATATCAAGGATGGGAAGATACTCTCTAAACTGCTTAGCATGATTTCTACTACACTGAGCAAAGAGGACAAAGCCCAAGAACAGGACCTGGCCAAGAAGAGCACTTGGGGTGGGGGCTGACTGAAGTTTGATCAGAAAGTCTTTATCAATATGAATTATGATTTTACCTTTTTCCTAAAATTATTTTAGTAGATGGTAGAAGAGTAATCTGAGTGGCAGGAGAAGAACATACAATTGTGCTGTAATGGTTAGCACATTTGGACTACAGTAAAATAAAGACAAAAATGACAAAACAATCCAAGTGTGTTCTACCTCCTGATAACTTACGATAATTATCTGAGCTTCTGTTTCTCATTAGCAGAGTTGGAAGGTAACCAGGTTAAGCATCCTCAAATTGAAAATATAAACTACAAAATACTTTAAAATCCAAAACATTTTGGGGGTTGACATGACAATCAAAAATTTCAGATAACAGAACGTTTCAGAGTTTGGATATTCAGATTAGGGATGTACAATGAGTGACATCTATATTCCAACCCCCCCCAAAATCTTCAAAATCTGAAACATTTTAAATGAGGGATATTCAGCCTCTCCCTTCCATGGTCATATGCAGCTAAATGTGCTTGTATGGGAGGCTTATTTCCCAAACCAGTGTGTGCGACATTCACATGATGCCATGACTACGGCATGACAAACCCATGTCTATGGACATACACCTCTGAAATACAGCACCTTGGCATTTGAGAAAACAGAAGCAGCAGAATGGTTGGTTAGACCTTCTTTCTTCTCTTCTCCCTGAAGTGAGCCATAAGGCCTAGCTGACTTGATCTAGGTGACTTGAACTAGATCATGAGACCCTCAGACCAGAGGGGTCCTGCCCATACCGGGAGGAGAGGAATGTTCTCATCTCTAAACACCAGGATGCCAGGAAGAGTCTGAACAAATGCCTTGCAAACCACGCCAGCTTATTACCACTTGATCACACCCTTTTGTCCACTCCTCTAGTCTATTTATTAAAATACTGTTTTCCTTCTTTCTTTGGGCCTTCATTTCTGAAGGGATTCATGGCATGTAAAATAGTTATTAAATGTATTTATCAAATATCAGTAAGCAACCTGTTGTGGTTACAAATTGCCAACAGGTATATTAAAAATGCTCAATACCACTAATCAGGAGAATTTAAATCAAAACCACAATGAGATGACATCTCATCCCAGTTAGAGTAACTATAATTGATAAGACAAAAGATGATAAATACTGGTGAGGATGTAGAGAAAGGGGAACTGTTGGTAGGAATGCCATTAGTATAACCACAACAGAGAATAGTATGGATGTTCTTAAAGAAATTTGAAAAAAAGAACCTCCTTCTGATCCACCTGCACTACTTCTGGGTAGAGAGCCAAAGTAAATGAAATCAACATTGTTATGGCTTGGGTCTAGATGTCCCCCCAAATCCTCATGCACTCATAGGTGGGACTTTTTCAGAGGTGGCTGGATCTAGAGTGTGTGATACTGGGGTTGATTCATGGTGCAGTGCTAGGCTCAAGGGCACTAGGATTAAGGGTGTGAGTGCTGCCAGCCCTAAGTAGTCTGGAGAAGATATAGGGAACACAGAGAGTTGCAATTGTTCCATGTTGCTTTGTGAACTTCTGCCCACCACAATATGTTTCTCCTTAGTGAGGCCTGTCTGCCAAGGCACCCTGAGTGGGAGTCAGCTGATTGTGGACTGAAACTTCTACAAACTCTGAGCTAAATAAACCTTTTCCCCTTTAATTTTGGGCGTCTGGTATTTTGTCTTCGCAATGAGAGCGAAGTAACTAAAATAAACGTAACAAAGAGATACTTGCACTCTCATATTTGTTGTAGCACCATTCAAAGTAGCTAAGATATGGAATCCACCAAAGCGTCTATTGATGAATACATGAATAAATTGTGGAATATATCCACAATGGAATACTATTTTGCTATAAAAAGGATGAAGTCCTGCCATTTGTGGCAATATGGATAGACCTAAATATTACAGTCTTAAGCAAAACAATCCAGGCATGGAAAGACAAATACCACATCATTTCAGTCATACTTATAAATTTAAAAATCTGAGTTTATAGAGAAGTAGAGATTAGAACAGTGATTAACACAGGTTGGTAAGGGGTAGGGAGAGGGAAATGGGCAGAATTTGATTAGTGGTTACCAAGTCACATACAGATAAGAAGAGTAAACTCTGGTGTTCTATTATACAGAAGGGTGATTCTCATTCACGATATTATACAATTTAAAATAATGTATTATATAATTTAAAATAGCAAAATGAGAGACTTTTGAGTATTCTTACCATAAGAAATATTTGAGATGATGGGAAATATCTTGAGTTGATCAATACACGATGTATAAATATACCAAAATATGACACTATACCCATAAAGATGTAAAGTTATTATTTCTTGACAATGGAAAAATGACTATGCAATGGCAAAAGACAAAAAAGAATAGTAAATTTTTATCTTTGAGTCACAATTTACTCTGAAATCTTGAACTTTGCTCTAAAATCTTTAGATTTTAAGACAGCATGGTAAAACTGTACAAAATTGATTTTCAACTTTGTTAGAACATATTTCATTAAAAAACCTTGAACTTCTTTTTTACTTAGCTCCAGTACATCAGAGGAAGTACGGGTAATCAAAATATTTAGTCAAATGTCCATTTGGGGCCTGGGATTATCCACAGAGTTTCATCAAGTCAGATAATTATACTGTAATGAACTCAGTCTTATTAGGGATATATTTTAAAACCTTAATGAAGCAAGCCTTGGGCATTTCTAATAGATAACCTCTTCCCCCCAACTTTTGAGAAATGAAATCCAATATGTGATTATATCAAAATCCTCCGGGTCATTTTATTCCCTTTGTGATGGTTGAGACCATTTTAATGACTCTTTTTATCCTTATTGAAGCAAAAATGACCCTTTCAAGGTGGTCCCATTTTATAAATCTGTGTAGGATTTATTATTATTTCTTTCTAAAGCTTTATCCTCATTATTTTTGTTGTTTTTTGGGTATTCAACTTAAATAGCTATCATCTCAGACTCCATGTCAAGGTTAATATAAAAATGCACTAGAAGAATAGTTTATTTCATTTATGTTCTAATTAATATAAGTATGATTATCTTGTTTCACCAACACTTATATTTAATATATCCATTCATTTAAACTTACCTTAAGGGCATATATTTCTTCCTAGTCTCTCTTCCTGAAATGGAATAGAAGTGTCTGAGTCAGAAGTTAGCTCTGAAAATGCTTCTGAAATTTTATTTTTAACACCCATTAGTGTGTAAACTCATTTAAACTGGGGAAAGACATTAAAGAAATATAGACTCATTTGTAATTATTCCCTTGCTTTAGGAAATAATTAACTTTAGAAGCTATACTATTATAATGTATGACTTAATTTTTCCCTAAAATAGCCAATGTTTAGGAAGAATTATGGGCTGAATAAAATGCACTATTCGTAAGTGCAGAGGGCACAATTGGTGGTCTAATGTATTCATAACTAGATCACAGGACCAGAAAAGGGGCTAAAATATAATTCATTTGAAGCTTTTCTGATGCATTGCAAAATATTTCATTTGCACCAACAAACCTAAAATTAAATATCAGAGTTCAGTATTTTTTCTGACTGGCTGTCTTGATTACACCATATTTTGCAGTATTCCTCGTCTTCTGCCACACCTTGGCTACAGTGTCACTTTCATGAAGGACACTATTTATTGGCTGCCCTGGCCACACGCTGAGTAGATAAACAGGATTCACTTTCTGAGCTCTAGTTGTTTTCTTGGTCTGGGAGCTGGATTGGTCAAATACTTAATGAACTCTGGGATTGGCACCTCCACTGAGCTCTCTTGAAGTGAGAAAGACCTAAGCAAATGGATAGCACCAGAAAAAGCCACCCTAAAATAGGCCACTTTGGCATAAGGATTGTTTTGATTGCAAAGCAATTAGCTCTCTGCCCTCCTCTTTTTCTAAAAATGGGACATATGAGATTATGTAATCTTTGTAGTCCTAGTAAAACAGATGATTTAAGATACATGAGTGACACAGGTGAGACCTGCAGGAAAACTGTCTAGCTGACCCCATTCAGCCCGTAGAATTATGAGATATAATACATTGCTTTAAGCCTGTATATTACTGGTGTACCAGATCAGATATGTCTGTTCTTAACAGACTCAAAAGAGAAAAACCAGACAACTGGGAAGAATATAGCTAGTCACACAGTATCGTAAGTCATAAGTCTTGGATATATTTAGCAAGGACACCATTTATACAGGAGGATTTTAACAATTTATTCCTAAGAATTCATTTGGCTTAGCAGGGCAGATACACATGTAGAAGAGAGACCAGTACAGTACAGGTAGTCAGGATTCATTTATAGATGGGTATAGAGATGGGTATATTATTGATAATGTGTCTTATTGATTCACAGACATGTTGCTTACTAGACAAGGTTCTTAATTCTCCCAGGTCATGACTAGAATCGATTCTAGACTCATTTTAGGTAAGGTAGAATTACATAATTTTGCTAAGAAAATAATGGAGGTAGTCAGTTCCCTGGCATCTTATATTCACGTAGTAATTCATCGAATGCTCCCGGGGAAAGGACCCAAGATGAGCCCCTGCTCTCTAGTAACTTGCAGTTGGGGTACAGGGGCCAGAGACAGGACAGGAAAGTCAGGGTGCATTTCAGAGATAAATAAGTGACAGAGATAGCTTGGGACAAGAGGACTTGTGCATCTAGGACTCTGTGAGGGAGACTGAGGAGGAGAGAAGCAGTAATGTGGGAGGACTGCAGCATAAGGAAGTCTCAGGTTAGGGAGAAGACTTGACCACTGCAGAGCAAGAAGAGAGAAGCTCCTAGCTGGATGCAGAAGGCTACGTTGGAAAAGAGGAAGTGATTAGATCAGAGAGGAATGGATTCTGGTTATATAAGTCTGATATACCAATTTGCCTGTTCTCCCTGAAAACCAACCCAAAGCTACTTTCTCAAGGTGAAAATGCTAACCTACCTAAAATAGAATTAGTCATAAGCCACAGGGCCTAACTGGGTGTTGGCTATCATAGTTTGGATCTCAAATATGTTAAAGGCTTGGTCCCCAACCTGGGGGTGGGGGTGCTAGAATCTTTAATGGGATCTAGCAAGAGGTCATTGAGGGCAAGTTCTTGAAGGGGATATGAGGACTCTGACCTCTCCTCTTTCTGTTTCCTTAATGCCATGAGGTGAGCACCTTCCTCTGCTGTGTGCTCCCACCATGATGTTCTGTCTCACAAAAGGACCAAAAGCAACAGAGCCAACTAACCATGGACTGAAACCTCTGAAAACATGAGCCAAAATAAACCTTTTTTCCTGATAAGTCATTTATCTCAGCGATTCTGTCACAGTGACAGCAGCTAACTTACTACACCTCAGGGAGGAGATGCTTCAGTCTGTGGTGCCTCACCATGTCCCTCCTACAGCTAGTGAAGAAGCCCTGAGGTCCAGCCACTCATCACTTTCAAGGCCTTTGGGTTTTCTCTGCTGCTCTCTCACGCTGGCCTCTGACATAGGAGAAGATGGGTGCCATTATGGTTCCACAAAGATTCAGTTATTGTGGTGGGTTTTAGGCTGGGCCATGACAAATCTCCCTGTTGTATATCTTAGCAACATGCCTTGTGTGGGTGAGTTGGTCCAGTGCTTAAGGTCACATTTCACAGACTCAAGTATAGTTACGAAGACAGCGCTTATGATCTGACTAATGGGCAGGCTGCCATTTTCCCTGGTCACTTTATGCAGGGACTTTTTCTAAGTTTAGCTTTAAGAAACCTTTTCTTTTATCACAACACATTCAGAGAATGTGTGTGCCTTTGGTGCAAATAATTTTATTTTGCTTCCTGTCAATGATAATGTGTTCACTGATGTTCCTGTAGCTCCTAAGGGAGCTGCCAGAGTGGAATTTTAAAGAGGCAGAGCATGCTAATATTCTGAGGAATGCTGCTAAAAGTTTAAAGAAGGGGTGAGAGCCAGCCCCTCATGAGCAAGACAGATAACATACACCACGATAGCATCTATTTATTGCTTTGGAGGTACTGTTCAAGTATTGAACAAATTTGTGGTTTTTGAGCCCAGAAAAAAAAATCCAAAGATAGAACAGATGGGTGTAGAATTTGAAGCAGATTACTTGGGGGAAGGGCGCTATTCTAGCTCATCCCGTGGGTCCAGTAGCATCTGTGGTGAAAAAAGTCAGCACCTCCAGAGGCCTCCATGTAAAGGTGTGGGTGGAGAGGCTCAGAGGTAGGGGTACAAGTACACAGGTTTAGATGTAAAAGTGTAAGTGCAGAGGCTTGCAAATAAAGAGTGGGGTGCACAGGTGTTTGGCTGTCACTATAACTGAGACTCTGTTAGAGCTAACAGTGGTCTATCTAGAAGTCCCAAAAATCTACCTCAGCTTGCTTGTCTTTTGCTGAGTTTGGAGTCTGGAAAAGTAGCATGCTTTCTCTGGGGAAATAAATCAAGGCAAAATGGATTGAATTGTTTGCCAGACAGTGTTGATAAAAGTCCAAAAGCATCATTTATAAATTGACAACATTAGAAATTTCCTATTCTGATATAATTTATATTCTGCTGAAATAAAGCAGCTCTCCATGGTTTATCCATGATTTGGTAATGATTTGAAGCTAGTGTACTACTGTGACATAATGAAGTATATATTTGGGCATGTCCCTGGTTATTGGCCAGGTCCCCTATAACTCTTGTAATTTCCTAATAAGTGCCATAATGGTGAAAGGAAATTTTATTATTCATAGCAAGTCCCTTTCAATCACTCCAGAGTTTATGTTAATGAGTTAACTTTGGGAAAGCCCTTAAGGATGGGGTACTGGTTGCCAGGATAAATGACTGTGATTAGAATTTTTAGCTATAACCTTCAACCCTCTGGCAAGCAGATGAGTTAGAGATTGACTTAAATCACTAGTGGCCAACAATTTCATTAATCATGTTCACATAATGAAGTTTCCCCCCAAACCCAAAAGGAAACTTAAAATTCTAGTCTTAGAATTTTTTCAATATAGCTTATTATTGTCTCCATGTATTTCTTGAATTTATTTTCCTCTGTAACCAAACTTAAGTTTTGACCAACATCTTCCCTAATTGATATAGCCATGCATTCTACAATGTAAATACCTTTCAAAACATCATGTATCACGTGGTATATGATAACTATATACAATTTTATCTATCCCCCCAAAAGGATAGAGTTCAGTGAGCTTGTGGATTGGTAAACAGCAATCCACAGACCCCCCCCCCCCAAGAGGAAAGTGAGACCCCCCCAGAAAGGACACAAAAGCTCCCTGCACCTCCATTGAGCCCCATGCACATTCTTCTGGTGCTGGGGGACTATGTTTTAAAAGTTTTGAGGAATGTATTGAAGTCTACACAAGTTTCTGCTAAAACATTTTTCACTGTAAGTTGTCTTGGGGTTCCTTTTTATTTCATTCTGCCACTTCCCTAGTTCTGTGTTTCTGCTCTAGCCCCACTACAGTCTTATGAGATTGCTGTTGTAGATGCAGTCTGCTGTTGACTAAAATGTTCCTTGAAAGATGCTAAAACTTACTGTACATTTTTATAGAATTAGTATAATTTTTTTCAAGAAGAGTATACTATAAATTAACATGGCCCTTACTAAAACAAAACAAAACAAAGGTTAATAAAGTAGGGATTTTTGAGTGCTTTAAGAAGTTAGGAGCTATCAGCAGGTATCCATCAGTAAGTAGAATGGTTGAAAAGTTACGAGTGTGTTATTAGGAAGAATAAACATAAAATGCAGTGGGAGCCATGTGCAAAGCTGATGACAGAATCTGCTGCTAATCAATTAATCTTCCCTTTGTGGAAGGACAGTCTTAATATTATGAGCACAAATCATAGAAGAGTTAGTTGCTGAGGGACTAGAAGAAAATTTAGAATGTTCTTGGAAAGATTTAGCAAAGAGGATCAAATATTTTTGAAGAACATAGGTAATTAAGGTCACAAAATCAAAAGGCATTTTATTACCAGTTAATGGAAAAGTAACAAACATATTGTTACCTTATTAGTTAAAAATATTTAGAAGAGACAGTAATTAGGACAAAATACAGAGGTAATAAAGTCAAACCAAAGGTAATTGCACTAATTTCTTCTGCTTCAAACGAAGTCATAGGTGGGAGCTTTTAGATCAACGCTAAAAT